CGAAAATTCCATTCGCCTTATTTAGAGGGCCGGTAGTATCTTAGACATTCAGGGTTAGAGCCTTAGCGCCGATTACTCAACGTCTGGTTAACACTTAACTGCAGATTAAACATCGTAATCGACGAGATTGACTTCATAAAATTTGACGAGGTGTCGATAACGAGGTTTAACCTCTAACTATATATTGAAAAACCAGCCCTTAATTTATTTTATTCGACTCTTCAATCGGTTGCCGGTTTGGGTCGTGACCGACGCACTTCGCCATTGTCCTCTTTCTTTTTAAAAGTTACTTCGATTATTTACAACAATTGTGACTTATTATTGAGATTAAAAAAGATATTCTAAACTACAGCGATCTTAGTTCTGCTGTACACATGTTTCAGCCATCTAACTATCCACCACTGGATAGCAGCTCGTATTTGCATCTTACTTTGGACCAACCATTTTTTTGGGTCATTTTGACAGTTTCAGAATCGGGATTTGGAGCTCAGTCAGCTGCAAAAGCCGCTCTTACCGGCTAAAGTCGCTATTTTTACAGCGCTCGTCGACCGAACTCTTAGTCCATCTGCTCAAGAGTAGTCCACAATTGCCAAGTCCAAGCTCGTATGATCCCTGTCAGGGGAGATGACCTCTAGGCTCCTCTGCTTATCTAATTCATTAGCCCTGCAATTTCCTCCGATGTCACTGTGTGCAGAGGCCCAAATCAATGTGATTTGGAAAAATTCTGAGGCGATGAGGAGGAATTTCAAGCAGTCCCCCAGCAGTTTCGATTGTACCTGAAGCAATCCTAGGGTATTGATTGCCGCTTGGCTGTCGCATGCGATATTTTTACTTCTAATGGCTATTACACTGGTGCCTAGCCAATCGGCTGCCTCTTTTATTGCGCGCCTCGTCTTCCCGAAAAAACGCTGCAAAGTCCGACAGCCGGAACTTGTAATTAACGGAGAGTTTCTGGCCGAAAACCTTTCCTGCAGCTTTAATCTATCCGTAAAGATATCTGCTGGAAGTCTGTTCCATAAACTCTCATTCTCATTAGATTGATGTATGTAAAGAAGGATCCGTTCGGTGTCTGCCTCGGAACGCTGCAATCCATTTCTGCCGGTATGAAGTCGCAGATTCTTAGGTTTGCCAAGTACTCGTTCGGCGGGTTGTAGGAAAAACCTATGTATGCGTATGTTATTGATTTCATATATCCCCATACCAAGTTCCAGTAGTCTACCACAGATATTTCCAAAGATATGCAGAATGAAAAATTACACTTGCATGAGAGGTGCACGGCACTTGGCTAATCGAGCTATAAGATATCCTATTTTTTTTAAGTTGGGCTAAACTGCACCAGTGTACAAAATTGCATGATGATCGGTTAATGCGGGAAAGCGCAACAAACGAACGAACTCATTTTCGCATTTATAATATTAGTAAGAATTATTTACTGTTAGTCACTGTTTTGAACTTACGATCAAATTGCCCGAACCACCCTGTTTAAATACACAAATCAATATGCATTATGTACATATTTACTTACATAAATATGTATCTTCTTCATATGCTAATTTCTATGTAAAGCAAACTAGAAAATACTAGTGCACATATACATACATACATACATACATACATGCACACTTACTTCCATATGTAAGCAGTCAAATGTATTAGATATTTGTCAAGTGTTTTGTGGGCGTGAGTTAGGCGGAAGTTTGCTTTTATGCAAATATTAATTGCTCCATTTGAAACTAAAATATTGAATTTTAATTAGCAAAGACATTATTTTTCTTCTATGAATATTAATACACAAAGGAAAATCTTTAATACGTGGTTTGACGTGAGTGCTTAAGGAGTTTAGTGAGCGGCTCTCAGAACCACACTATATATGCCAAATAACTCTAGGGATCGTTTAACAAGGCTCTTGATGAAGCGAGCCCCATTAAAAAGCCGAGGAGCCAAAACTACCCAACCCGATTGAGTTTAGAGATGGATGTGGCTTCCATATACTGTTAAAGAGACTACAACCTCGCTAAATCCTTAGGGGCTGATATGCAATGGGAATTATGTAAGGCAAACTTAAGGGATTACAAGAAATTCTTAAGGAAAAGCAAGAGATCCTTATGGGGGAACTTTTTAGTTACATTGAATCTGTATCAGAAGGTTTCTAGGCTCAGTGCTTCTGTTCACCTCGAATCGCCCCGTAATACTGGCTAAGATCTGACGGTGCGTAGATGGGAACTGGTAAGGAATTTCTGGTTCTTCTTTTGCGCGCGCACTTTCCAACGCCAGGCTCTAGATAGGTCACACACTATTAAAACTCAGTACGTTACGACTGATGTTCTCCGAGTACAGATACTTTTTCAGTAATTCAGTTGCAGCAATTGTTGGAACTAAATAAGTACAAAATGGTAGTATGCTATTTTTAAGCGCGCTCTTACTCTCAATTACATGCGGGAGATCTGGTAAAGGTCAAGGGTTGCCTTCATTCCGTAGGTGGAAAGGATCTCTCAAACGAATCCTAAGGATTTTAAAACCTATAGGTCTATCAACATATTCCAACTAAAGATAATGGAGCAGCTGATTGAATACTGTTGCAGGAAATCGTTTGCAAACAAACTCATGATATATAAGCGTGCCTGTATAAAAGGAAGTCCACTGAAACAACGTTGCACGACATCGTGTCACATGTTGGAAAATCCTTAATTATAATGGAAACTACACTGGACATTGAGTATGAACAGTATCACGACTGTGGCAATCACTTCGTCTTTGAAGTATCTGGGCATCACTCGCACACCAGCTGTTTGTAGGCAGGGTCATGTCGGCGTATCTGGCAGAAGCATCGCTGGACAGATACGTTTTCAGGAAAACCAGGCAATGTAGCGTTCTGTCTCCCCTGGGTTATGGCAATCAATGAAGATATGGGATCACTCCACTTCTACACTGATAGTTGAAATCTAGACAACGCGGTAGAGGTTGAGCCTTTTTAGCACCATTGGGGCTGAAGAAATTATTTCGCCTACCCTACCACTGTAGTCTTTCTCAAGCTAAGTGTGCTAAAATACAGCAGGCGGTTGAACACTCAAAGCACTTGACTCGGTTCTATCTAATTCAAAAACCATAGGGGACGGCTGCAGGCCTCGTGAAGGCAGACGAACTTGCAAGGGAGGGGCACATCCGTTTTACATTCGCAATCCTGCAAGGGTTTAGGCATGCCGCTCCCTAGCTGTAAGCGTATTCTTGGGGATATATCTCAAAAATTAGCAAGTGATAGATGGTGAAGTTTCACTACTTGCAGAAAGTGGCCGGAATGAAACGTGAAGCGGTCGAATGGTCTCCGCGTTCTGGGAAAAAGGGACTTATCCATAACTGTGACTTACACTCCAGTTGCCATCGGAAAGCACGACAAGTTCGACGTTCCCCATAACGACTTCTACAGCAGGTGCAGAAATGAATAAAAGCCAGAAACTAAATATGGCATTGAATATGGCACAACGTCGAAACCGGTTTGTCTCCAAAAACTTAACAATGGATGTCGGAAATTCGTACTAAAATAAATCAAGAACCAGAAACCTTGCGGCAGCTATCATGCAAATGCTCCTCGCACCGGGGTAGAAGAAGAAAATTATGGTACTCAGAATTTTTCGAGGGATTAGCCGACATAGCTAAGGTAAGAATACGGTAATTATCAGGTTTCGCAGAGTTTACTTGATGGTTGGAGTAGGAGTAGGGTTTCTCAACATGCCCGTCCATTTAAACATCCATCTATAATTTCATTATATTCCAGAGATAGAGCAGGTACTCTGTAATCTGGGTTGTTCACAAAATCATCGCCATCCAAATCCCTGTAGTCCTGTCCATTCACCGAATCCATCAAATCACTTAATTGCTACTCACTTATTGAGCTCAATTAATATTGCATTTGTCTCTCTGCCGGAGAGATGTTCTCGATTTTTCAACTTTTCCAAAAAAAATAAGTGGTAAACAGTTAAAAGATTCACCTCAAAAAGAGGAACATTTCTGATGTGTAAACACCTTTGCCCTCGGTATGGGTAAAATTTGCGTTAACCTGGCAGAAAATTTGTAACTGCTTCTGTAATTGCTTCTTCTGTGTACAAATGGATATTTCTGAACTAGTTCAGGACCATTTCAGACTTAGTGCACGTCTAGTTTAGAACGATTTCGGTACTAGTTCGCGATCATTTTGGGACCGTTTCGAAGCCTGTTCAGGACCATTTTGGGACTAGTTCAATGCTATTTGAGAACCGTTTTGGGCCTAGTTCTGGAAAATTCAGCGACAAGCTAAGGACTACTTTTAGAACTAAGACTATACCAAGATACTTTCGGAATTAGTTCAGCGTCATTTGGGTACTAGTTTAGGAACATTTTGTGGTTATTTCGGTATAATTTTGGTACTAATAAGGGACCATTTCGAGATCGTTTCAAGATATGTTCCGGATTATTTCGGTTTTATTTGTGGACACTTTCAGCACAATTTCCGACTATTTACGAACAAGTTTAGGACTATTTCAGGATAATGTTGGGCCTAGTTCGGGATCATTTCACGTTAGTTCAAAACTAGTCACGCAATGGAGCTGAGAAATTAATCTGAAGTATTCTCGATTTGGTTATGAAAAAATCGTGTACTGATCCCAACAAACTGAATAAAATAAAATGAAATTAATGTTTCATTTTTAACCTAACCTATTTATGCAGCTGAATCGCCGTATGCTGTGCCATAGCCATACACAGAGGTTTACATATATCTGCAAATTCATGAGAGCTCGTTTTGCTCCCAAAATATGTGCAAATCTCGACACTTATGTATCTCCACTGACCCCAAATCATTCACGTCATTCTTTCCATTTTTTTTATTTTGGCTTTCAAATATTTTTCCTTTTAAAGTTTACACTAAATTTTGTACTAAACTACAATTTTTTGCGTAAAGTTTTAAAAGAATTAGAGAAATAATAATTATTTTGTTTTAAGCCCATCCAGTGCACTCTTATCCACCACTAGGTTTTATTAAACCAAGTGTCGCATTTAATCTGCGGTATAGTATAGCGTACTTTAAGCGGCGCCAATATACGACCAATCAGCAGTTTACATTCACTGCTAACCGAAGGACTTTTTGGAAATACTAGCGCAGCGTTTATGCGTTTGAGTAATACATGAACATTGGAACCATCGTAGGGTAGGCGACCGAAAATCATGGCATAACATACAACACCACATGCCCAGATGTCAGACATGAATGGATCATAGGCAATACCTGCGGGTGGAGAGAAAGCTTCATTCACAAAATTATGTACAAAGGCAGATGAAGAGCGTTAAGTTACCTTTGAGTATTTCTGGGCTGGCATATGCATAGCTGCCACAAAATGTTTTCGAGAGTATCACTTCCTCGTCACTGGTGCGCGTGTCCTTGCGTGCAAATCCAAAATCGATTAACTTAAGCGTGTAATTTTCATCCAACAGTAGATTTTCGCATTTTATATCACTGCAATTAAGAAGAAAGCAGGCAGTCGCTTGCGTTTTTTTTTTTTTTTAGAGTTTCATTAAAGGCCTACCGATGTACTACGTTCTTGGAGTGAATATATTCTACGGCACTTATTAATTGCTGAAAGAGCTTGCGACCATGTGGCTCTTCCAGATGTTTCTTCTCTCGCACATAGTCTAGTAGTGTGCCATTCTCTGCCAGTTGCATGATTAAGTACACCCTGGAAGATGCGAGAGTTGTTAGTGGAAAGAAATTATGGTATGAAAAAGAGAGAGGGCACATCCGTACCACTTTCACAGTCCTGGAAGAGTTAAGGCATGCCGCTCGCAAACTGGAAGCTGATTCTAAGAGATCTATATCTTAAACTAGCAAGCGAAATATGGGAAAGTGTCACCACTTACAGCAGGATGAAGCTCATATGGCCGGAATGGAAGGAGGAACGTCGAAGGGTATCCTCATGCTGGGCAGAAGGGACGTACTCAGAACCATGCTGCCTATATTTGTAGGGACTCAGTGAATTTCCTCACTAATCAGTAAAAAAAATTGAGTCAAATTCAACGGTGGAAGAAAACTTAAAGGAGTTTTACGGTTCTCAAACGCTAACAATTGCTCGACATTGTCATCTGGCTTGGCATTGATGATCTCTGTTTGTCCTTCTGTTTCTTGGCTCTCGATCCTATTAAGCTGGCATTTCATGGTACTATTTTGTATATATGTAAGGAAAATTTGAAAGTTAGGGGGGGGTTGCTCGAGCACCGCCCTGCCCCTACCTGGCTACGCACATGCACACATACAAGGTAATTGGCCGGCCCATTTTAAATTAAATTAATTTGATCAGCGGCCGCTAATAGGACACATATAGGGTGCCTTCTGTTGTCACCTGAACACCATCTTCATAGCAAGGTCACAATGCTCTGCGACAAGGATAATAAATTTATGTTCTGCAAGTGATACTTGTTTAGCTGCTTCCGCAAGGAACAACCGAACAGACACTCTCTGTAAGCAGAGCCATCTCCTAGTTATGACAGAAGGTCTCTCTATGAACTTACGGATGAAATGCTGGCTTACATCGCACAATCACTGGATCAAACATTGAGCAGGGGTGTTATAATCTACATTCACTGAGCGACAATATCCAACTTTACATACTCTCGGTCTGTGAGCGCTGTCACCGCAAACAAAAATCTTCAGCTTCCATGAGAGATCTGCGCAACTCTGCTGCAACTATACAATGTACACTGGAGCAGGATAAAATCCTACCTATCCGGACCCGATATCTGCACCAACCACTTCTTTACTAGCCTCTTAAAACCTCTTTCCCTTGGTGCGACCTCATCGAAGGTGCATTTGTTCTGGGCCTAGTCTCAGTTGAGCTTACCGACAACGTTGGATAGACTAGCCGATTAAGCCAGAACTACGCCAATTTCAAACAGATGCTACTTCGATCTCGGTATTCAATCGAAAAGCAATTCGCGACTAACACACATCAAGCTCTACAAATGGGTTATCCTTTTATATGGCGCAGAAACGCGGACGATGACGAACAAAAATGAGAAGTCTTTTGGGTGCTTTAGAGAGAACTATTTTACGCAAGATATGTATGTATATGGCACTATTTGCATAGGCAACGGGTTCCGAAGAAGATGGAATGATGAACTTTCCGACGACTTTTTAACGACATGGACATAGTTAAGCGAACAAAAGTACAACGACTGCTGGGTCAAAAGAGAGGTAATTGTCGAAATTTGTTCGTCTCTTTGTCTCGACGCAAACTGACAAACGGTAGTAGTGCCAAATAAAAATAATACTGCACCTCAATATAAAAACGATAGATAGCTTTAAAAGCCTTTTCCGTGATCTTATATTTTGATGCTGACTAATCTAAATACTCAATGAAAGTAATTTGAGTGAAAGTTGGACCAAAACTGAGTCAAACTTAAGTGAGCCTAGATAAAGGCATTGTAAGGCGGTGTAACTTAGAAACGATCGATTTCGTCTGCTAAGGCTCAACTTCATTATTTGCCTCTCTCATTTGCAAAGGGCCAAGATCTAGTAAACTCGGTCATTCCCTAGGCTGTGGGATATTTTCCCCGGAACTTCATCTTCCATACGCATGAAATGTCTAAGATCGTACAGTACATCATTTCACCTTTTTCCGTAGAAGTATACTTCTCAAGGGCAGCGTCTCAATTCTTGAATTGGGTATATCTCTCTAATGAGCACAGATTTTTCAAACATTTGGAAGACAGGGACGGATATGGTAAAGGCTTTTTAAAGCATAATTTTTATTCGCTGGATGAGAGCTCGATAGCAAAACAGGATTTGAACAAATTAGAACTGACAACCAAAGGATCGAATCGACTGGAGAATTTAGGAGAGAGGGGTTTTGAGTAACAAGTTTTAATCCGAAAAAAGACTTGAAAGAGAAACTCTCCGAAATACACCTCTTTTTTATTAGACTCGTTCGTTGGATGAGGGAGTATATCCTCGGTTCTATCTTAGAATTTGTTTCGAAAACGCCCTATGTCAATATAAATTATATATATCGGCAGCAGAGATAGGACGTTCTTGAATAATTTGCTGAGATAGGGGGCGTTCTTCAACCAAATACTGAAGTAAGGCGTTCTTCAACCGTTTGCGTTTTCGAACCGTCAGCCGAGATAAGGCGATCTTCCGCTTAGTCGAATACAACACGCAAGGAGTTGCGCAGCGAAACCACGATTGCGACGAGTTCACCCAAAACCTTCCAAATTTTAGTATAATAAATACTGGACGTCAAGTCTTCTTTGACTTCGGCATTAAATTGCAATCATTTCTCTCATTTACTCTCACATACCTATGACTTGTCTCGATGCTTTGATAAAACGTTATCAAGTTTTCATGTTGCAGACCCTTGACAGCTTCGATTTCGCGTGGCAGAAATTTTTGCGTATACTCAGCAGGCGCTTTCACTTTCGAAATAATTTTTACAGCTACGCGCTTGCCGTACTCCTCGGAAAAACCAACTTTCACCTTTGCATAATTCCCCGTACCAATTACTTTACCCAGCACAATGCCATGATCTTCAAGTATGGTTTTTGGTCGCTGGCCGCTGGGGCCAGTAAAAATGTTTCCCTCATTGGCCTGGGTTACTGAGGAAGGAGCACGTCGCAAAGAAACATCCGCCTGTGTTTCTTCATCATCCTTAGATGCACCGCCATTTTGACGTAGTATTAGGTCCTTGACGTATACACTATGCTCACATAGAGTACCGTTATTGCTTTTATTTTTACAGAACGCATCAAGTTTCGCCTTGGCTACGATTTTACTTGCCGAACTTTGCGTACAATTTGCTGCCGTTGGTGTTTGCATACCCGAACGGAATCACGTGTCCACTGCTCCGCCCGTTTATCTTCCCAGAAACGATTGCTTTAGCGTTTTTCTGCGACTTTTGCATGGACAACGTATACGAGAAATGTGGTAAACTATCGAAGTTAGGCGACTATTTTTCAATTCGGTTTACGAATCTTTTGTTTAATTTGGTGAATTGTGCAGAATATTAGTGCAATTATTTTGGGGTTGGCGGTTGGTGGTTTCCGATTCGTACTTCTTTTTTTTAATAGTTACTTATATGGGGTAAATTTTGTATATTAGTTCGTTAAATTATAAGAAATATGAGTACATTATTTTTACTATTTTTAAGAAACTTTTTTTGGTAGAATGTGTTAGGAAAACCAAATAAAATAAATATTTTTTGATATATTAGTGACGTGTAAAAAGATATTTCCTGTATTTTCTTTTTTTCAAAATGTGTTTGTTTCGTTAAATTTCCGAAATAGATAAAATATCAGCAGAGATGCAAAGGGAACGAGTAAAGACAGCACTATTTCCCGCTATTCCGAAAGGTTCATACATTCCACGAACATAAGAATAAACTTATATTTATCTGTACAAACTGTGGTATGAAAGATATACCTTATGGAGCAGTTTCGGTGGATCCCCAGCTGCTACATTTCTAACATATTCCCAAAGCTCATCAAAAAATTTGAAGACTAGACATAACGGTGTAAATTTGCATCGCGGGTAAGTTCCAAAACTAAATTCGAAGTGGCAAAAAAATTAAATATTTTATCGTGTTTTCTTTATTAAAACAATGTAATTACACACTTGCAAGTTTAAAAAAACAGAGCTCGTAAAGCGATCAAAGTGCTCTCTCGCTCTGAGGAGTTATATTTTTTAACAGCACTCCGAGCGATAGCGTTATTTACATTCTCTTTAGCAAAACCTCCCTCCTCACATGTTTGGCTCACTCATGAATTTGCATGTGACGTATTGGTAAAATAGTTTATTTGTGTTGATGGCATCATTTTTATTTTTATCACTTCGAGTTTTAAAGTGATGAGAATGCCTGGCTTGAGCCAGTTCTGGCCAAATGGTTGCATGTCTCATTACCGACTCCCGAGTGACCTGGTACCCTAAGTAAAGCAAGCTGGTTATGTTTACCAACATAAAATAATAACATAAGTTGAGACTTGCATTGCCGAATTAGTTAGAAAGTACTTAGATAGAGGGCTGGCCAATGCCTTAAGTGCAGCCTGGCTGTCACTTGAGATATGTAAACTCCTCCCCTCTACCTATTTTTCACCACGTAGGTCATGGCTTTGAGGGATGCAAATACCTCAGCCTGAAAGCCTGTGATACACTCCCCAAGATACAAGTGAAGCTTATTCCCATTAACTTCGAAAAAGACCCCACATCCCGACCCAGAGTCAGTTATGGAGCCATCACTGAAGACACGATAATGCGTGAATCCGGCCACAGTGCTGGAATTAAACCGGCATTCTGCTTCAAGGAACTCAACATTATAGAACCTCTGTCTGTCTGGTGTTTTAAAGTAAAACCACATATCTGAACAATCAGTTGTATTAGAGATATGGGTTATAGTGACCCAATCTTAGTCATCTTTTTACTGTAAGCTCTCCATTGATGATAAGTGCAAAAAAGGGCTATTTTATGAGGGTGACTGCTTAAGTGGAGAAGTTTTAACGTAAAAATTCATATCCGAACAATCAGTTGTCTTTGAGCTATGTTTTGTACTAGTTGTAAAATTAGTACAATAAGATCTCAAATACCTTTTTTTATTACAACGGTTACTTAAATTTACATCATTAAAAATACACCAGGGTGCCAAATTTTCCAAATGGACAGACAAGGCTAAATCGACTCAGTTCATCGTTCTGATCATTTTGGTATACTTTTTTCCTAAGGTCTATCTATTCGTCTTCTGGTAAATACTACCATTAAATGGTATAGCAGTCTATTGAATACACTTACCAACAGTGATCGGAAAAAATTTCTAGGATTTACTTAGTTTGGGTGACGGTTCCAGATAGCATGCATTAGGACGTTGAGACCAATGTAATACTCCAGAGGGTTTCCGACATGGGTCGCCGAAAAAGCACATAATACGTGGTAAGAATTTCATAGTCAAGCTCATCGAAGTAAAACCCACTAGCGGTGCGTCTAGCTGTTAACTCTAGTTATAGAAACTGTTTTATGATCTATTTAATGTTGTCACCTAGATATAAACCTTTTTCTCGCCGAGACGAATGCGTAGGTATGCGTGTTCCTACAAACGGACTACATATAGTCTAACGATGTCAAATATAAGCAACTTCATTTTCTTGGTTTTGGTAGAATTATTAAACGTTTCCCCCTCCTATTTACTTGATTTTAAACATTTACAATTCTAAATGTCAAAACGCGTAATGTCTACACATTTCGAGTTGAAATACTCATAAGAAAATTTTGGTCGCCTATATTGCTCATATACCCCTATGTGCATTGTATAAATTGCTTTTGAAACTAATTGACATTGAAATAAAAAATTTAGAAAATACCTGCTTTCAAACTGTTTGAATAAAACCACAAATTAAAAAGTGACCTCTTTTGACCCATCGGTCGTTCAGGGTTAAGACTTTTTTTTTGCCAAAGTGTGGAAAATTATTTACATCTCGGCAATTGTATTTCTGCCTTGCCAAAATTTCTCATAAAATCTATTTTCCGTTTGGAGGCAGTGTACAACTCTTTCTTAAAGACGCACACCAAAACTTGACGGAAAAGGTCGGCCAAGAACTAGAAAAGAGTGTATGTAAGTGCCAAATATTTATTTTGTTTATGTTTCTTCCATATCTAGTGTACATTTACCTCCTTGAACTCACCGCAGTAATCTCTAGCTTTGAGAATAAAAGCATAAACAGACGGCAGCGTTGATCCGGATCAACTCGGGAATTAACTGCAGTTGATCCGGATTAAGTCGGATGCTGCCGTCTGTTTAAGCTTTAAGTTTGTGTATTTTTCACAGTTTCCGAGATTGGCTTTCGAGACTTTACGGGATTTTTTTCTACACCGTTTAAAACTTTTTGGAGGACATTTTGGTATTTTTCGCGTAGAATTCGGAATTTTCCTTGAATTTTTATTGGGTATTTTTGAAATTTTTCGTGGGCGCCTAGCATTTTTTGAGGGTTTTTCCGGGATTTTTGGAACTTCCAGATTATTTCGGGACTGATTCCAGATTTTTGGGCCTGATTCGGAATTACTATTGTGTACAGGGGGCAGCATTTTAGGGGTTTCCAAATTTTCGGAATTTCCGAGACTATTTCATTTTTTCAGAATATTTCGGGATTTCCGAAACTTATTCGGGGCTTCTATTGCATACAAGGTTTACGATTTTCAGGAGCTTTATGTGGTTTCGATATTTCCGGAAGCATTTCCTGAGTTTCGGGATTGGTTCAGGCTAGCTAATTTGCAAAAGTTACGTTATCACCATGAAATCTGAGTTTAGCTGTTCAATTATTTTAAAATCCTTGAAGATTTTTCAAGCCTAAAGAAATTTTAAATCAAGAAACTGTCGTTGCTCTTTTTTATGCACTTTTGATTTTCGCAGGCCCTGCATACCAGTCTGAACTCACCCCCTGAAGTATGCTTTCTTTTATGTCCAAAGCATTTACATACATATGTACATATAACAGAACACCCCACACAGGGTGAACATACAATTATTTAATAATAACTAAGGGTAGTTCTTAAGAATTTCAAATGTTTGGCAACCTTTAGTAGTAACCAAGACGATTAGTAACGACAAACAAATCAAAAATAGCCGAAAAGGAAGAAACTCAAATTAGACAACACACTGTTTGAACAAAAAAAAACGATTTTTGAACTAAAATCATTTAAAAATTAATAATAAAGGACCTTTTGAACTGGAAAAGTTGCAAAGAAACAAAATACTTCATTTTTAATTCAAATTGCGATAATTAAAAAAAATGTGGCATATGTAAATTTTTAAGTGCTATGTGAAAACGAATGCAATTTGATGCAGAGAAACTCTTTTGATGGCGGAAGTGCATATCATCGGCCAAATTTTAAAAGCCGTTGACTTTGCCGAGCCACACATCTATTGCAAGTGGAGCTTACAAAGTGGTAAATGCATTTTGTTGTTAATAGATTTCGCAAATTCTAAGCAAAAACTTTTTCAGGCAGCGCTTGGAAACTCATACAAGGCGAAGTTGCCGGTCACTCACTCGTCTGTTCACATCGCCTAGAACAATCATCAGATTTTGCACATCCCTTGGATATTCATTTGGCCACTGCCTCAGTGCAAGGTTGGCCTAAATTGCACGTGGAAGTACATGCGGTAAATGTATTGCATAATAGTTGGCCAGTAGGCTACGGATTCGTGCATATACCAAGTCGCCCAGGCGCACATCGCTTAGAGTTGCTCACTTGGAAAGTAGCACCTGTCACTTGGTACGATAGTGTACGTGAGAAATTTGGTGGTGGTGGTGTTGGTCTTAGCAAACCGGATTTAATCTATACAGGAGTGGAGAGGTGAGTTGTAGGTTAGGGGTGTAGAGAGAACTATAATATCTCTGCTATAATAAAATCGTAGAAAAGTCGTGTCTATGCATTGCAAAGGTCTGTTTACCTGTTTGTCTGTTTGATCTCACTAATCTCCGAAACTGCTGAAAGGATTTTCATGGGGTTTTAACTGGGAACTAGATAGTAAATTGTGCATAACATAGGGTATAAAAAATGGGCGTGGCGCCTCCCATAGGACTGACATTTTTAACTAGCTGTACATAACTTCGAAACCGTAAGTCAGATAACTTTGATATTTTGTGTGAACACATTACCGAAGTAGGCGTTTATAGTAAACTGAAAAGGGTTGAGTGTTTGCCAGGAGGCGTGGCACCGCCCATAGGCGTAGTATATTCAGATAACCATAATCTTATACTAAGCTTTAGTTCAGAGATATTGAGAATGGCAAAGCCAATGGACTGCGAAGCAAGACAGCTTATTAAGTGATTTGCACAAGCCCACACAGCTTGCAATTAAATATTTTTTATTATCCCTTTTTACAGACGATAGTGTTGGAAACAAGCCTTTCGCGATTGTTTGTACTTTTTCAGTTTGCGGTGGTGGCAAACCTGTTGTCGTCCCAAGTGCGGAGAACAGAACTCAGACTACAGTCAAACTGAATCCAACGAATGCCAGTCGATGACTAAAATATTCAGCCTCGGTGCGTAAGTCGTAAATTAGACTAAATTTTACGACTGGACAGCATGGGCATTGCCTACTGTCGAGTGCTGCCAAGTTTTTCCGTTCTAAAACACTAGTCGAGTCGAAATGTTAGGCAATGCCGTGCCATTTTCGATACGACTTGACACGGCAGTTGCAATTAGGCTGATTATTTAATAACTTTTATTTGGCGGCCTAAGTGTATGCAACAAAATGAAAACTTCAAAAATATTTTGGAGTGCCAAATCATGCAAATTTTTTTGCACTTTGTTTGTTATGCTCCCACGCTTTAACTACTCTACTGAAAATCTTAAAATTATGCACGCTCGTGCTATTTAGCCATACTTAAAATATACGACAGCTCTAATCTCGATTGGACTAGGGGGCGTGGCACCTCCCATACAAACTGAATTTTTTAAACTGCAGAGATGTGGAAGTATTTGTGGTATAGTACTAGAACTTGGTGAAAAATTAGCCTTATTGGGGAAGGGGGCGTGGCACCTTTCATACAATATGAATCAGAAAAATCAAATTGAACTTGAATTAAGGGAATTAGTTAATTAAAATATATTATGACAATGTGGGTGTCCGTTGGAAGAGGTTAAGGCTCTTGTAGTTTTGAAGAGGGTTGCCACCTGTTTGAAAAGTGGAATTTAATAAAATAAAAATAAAAAAATTAAGTTATATTAAATATTAAAACGGAAGAGTGTTAAGACGTTTTTTTAACATTTAATATATTTTTAAGAGTTTGATGTGGGTTGCCACCTGTTAAGATATTAAACTCAATTCAAAGTAAAGTTAAGTAAACTATTACAATATGGCTATCAATTGAAATTTTGAAAGGGTTTTACGTTTATTGAATTGCTACCTATTTAAAAATCAAATTCAAGTTGAATTAAGGAAATTAGGTAGTTCAAATATGCATCACAATATGGGTGTCAGAGGAAAGAAGGTTGTAGTTTGAAAATATTTCCTGCCATCTGTTTGAAATTTCAAATTCAATTAAATAATGTGCAAGTTATCTGTTAAAATATGCATTTAGAATATTATTGAGGTATTTGAAGAATGTTGCACCTGTTTAAAAAGACATATTCGAATTATTTGATAAGTTGATATAAATGGTTTTGAAAAAGCCTCATTTCTAAACTTATTTCCAAACCACAAGTTGGAGGGTTGCCACCTGTCTAAAAAGCCAAGTTCAATTTGATTTAAGGGAGTTAGGTAATAAAAATATGCGTATATCATGTGCAAGAGGTTTAATTTGAAAAAAAAAGTTAGAGAATCTCCTAAGTTTACGTAAGTTGAGTTTTATTTAAATAAATTACATCCAACGTTACACGCAAAAATTTCATACACTCAGCAAAGCGGTTGAGGACAAACTAGTCTAGTTATAAATGTTTAGGGGCTGTAACGGTTATGATCTTTATAATAAAAACTAGCTGGCCACGTATGCGCGAGGCTTCGCATGCGCTGAATGTATGCATATGTATGTACATTTACGCATTTGGAGAAAGAA